ATAATTATAAATAAATAGATAAAAATGAAAATAGAATGAAGATCATGACTAAAAATAACTATCCAATGGTAGTAGATGCTATTTTTATCACAGTACTCCATAGGTCTGATCATAAGATACAAGTTCAAATCCTTCAGATGGCAATGTCTGAAGTTGATAAAAATCTACATCCGTTGGCCTAACCATATCTAACCAACGTTTCCGAAATATAGTTACTTGTCTTAAGAAATTATCAGAGAAAAATACCTGTTGATAAGTAGTATGGTCTATATAAGGATTGTGATCAGCTGTAATATCCGAAATCGGCTAAAATTATCTGGATGTCATTAGTTACTGTATAGGAAAGAATATAATAATGAACACAAGAATAGATCCCTAAACTGGTAGGATGCCACTAATAATCAAGTATTGATCTTTGTGCCGTTCACTGACTTAACTATTAGGAGGCCTTGGTGAGAGGAAAAAACTGTGGACCACTCTGAAGAACCAAAATACTGGATCCAGAATACTGTATTCAACGGCCTGATAACCTACCTACTCTGATATAAAAATTTGTAGGGAATAATTAAGACGGAATTATGCAGTTTTCTGTTGAAGTAGTACTTATACATATATAGTATAATCAATATAGTTAGTCATATACAGTATATAATAGTTTACTATGTTAGTTGATGTATATAGTGCTTATTTGAGAATGTACATAGTAGACACATTACTCCTTTCTTAGTCTGTACAAGCACATATGACAGTGATTCTGACCTACTGAATAACTCAAATAACAACTATAGGGCTTAGTCAGACATACGGTAGTGACAACCTGCTGGCAATGATGCAGTGGACTAGGAGGGTCTTTACCCAAAGACACTGTGAAGTGAAATATTGTCCCCAAGGCTGAACTTAGAGGCTTTTATGCTTACGACGAGTTTGTTAGATTAGAAGAATAGTTTAGCTATAGTATGTGTTATGCTGCTCGAATGAAAATGTACTTATGTTTTCAATTAATTAATAAACTCACAATCTAGCCTGGCTACGGGTATACAAAAAAAAAAGATTTATTTATTTTTTGGAACAGAAGCTCAGCTATGTTTATTAACTTTAATAAAATAATATATAAATTAATGCAGAAATTACAAAGGTTGTCACATGGAGCCATATATTATTTATATCACTAAACTTTCTAAAACCTGATCTTTAATGGATTTATCAGATGGCTTATTGCCCAAAAATATCTGGTTGGATTAAATTTCTACTACTACTACTATCTAGAAAAAAACTAGACACCCCTTATTAAATCTTCAATTCTTCCAAAGTTCTACTAACTAATATGATATGGTGGGCTTGCTAGTTCAAAAAAGGAAAAGTATACCTTTTTTTTGATCCTGATAATTACAACCTGTCACCAATATCAAGTGTGTTCAGAGAAGAGTATGAATTCAATAGTATTTATTATCATATGAAAGTGAAAAAACCATTTGGATCAAAATGGAAAAACCCTAGAATAATTTTGAAATGAAAGAATGATTGTGTTTTCAAGAGTAATATGAGTTCTTGAGAATCCATTCTAATAGGAGAGATACTCATTCTATAGCTATAACACTTTCGAAGAATAATAAGAGAGAGAAAATCACAGTCCATGTAATATTTATCTATCTGTATCTCTAGAATATAACTTATAATAGACCTAAAATTCTTAAGAAGCTTAAGAAATGCATTTACATTATATATCATATATATCCTTATTTATATTTCTGCTAACTATGGTACAATCGATCCCAATCTTTAACCAATTAATCTGTTCAAAATCCGGTGTAATAGAAAATTCAGTGTCAAGTTAGGATAGACAAAATCCCTCAAAAAAACCAAGAAAGAACTGTTACATATTGAGAGAGAAGCCATTTTTACCTATGATAGTAATGTTAATTTCTCAGGTTGGCATGAAGTTGTTGACCTACACTTCTTTCTGGACTTTGGAACCTCCATAGGGAAGAGTAGAAGGATATTTTTTTATCTGGTTTCTTTTTCCTAAAAAAGCTTTTTTGCCATTAACTTCTTAGAGGATTTTTGAAGAGAAAAAGTAAACAAAAAGAGTAAAATATGACTGCTGTTAAATGAAGCAAGTGTTTTTAAAAGAAGTTTTGAAGTTTTATTACTTTCAAAACATAAAGTTTTAAAGAAATGCTTCTTTGAAAGTAGTGGTCAGGGATCTACGGAAAAGAGTTTTTTTTTATAATATTTGACTTAAAGATTTATTTATTGAAACTATATTATTCAAATAATAATTAAAAAAAATTCTTTTTTTGTCTAACTATAATAAAGGTCATAAAATACTTTAATTGCTTTTAAATTTAAATTATATATTCTTGATGATAAGTAAATTCTATTAACTTTTATAGATAAATAAAGATTTATTAATTTTTATAAAAATAAATCAAACTTTTAATAATCTGTGGATAATGATGGGTTCCTAAAGTATTTAGTATATAAAATTTCACAGATCACTTATGTCCCTTTTTGAGGAATATAATTAATAGCTCTTCACTTTAATAGGGACAAAAGTCAGGAAATGCTATAAATCAATGATTTAGATAATGGAGAACAATTATGGATAGTTTTTTTATGGTTATTAATTTAAAATTTTTAATTTTTCCTAGTGAGGGACATTTGACTTATGTCCTTGTCTCCCCCTTTAGGGACCCATCTTTACCTGTGGATCAATAGCACAGTGGTAGCACTCCCAAGTTACTATTTACTGTTTCTGAGTTCAATACTACTATAAAGTAATATCATTAAGCCTAGGTAATACAAGAAGATTCTATCCATTTCATAATAATGATCACTGTCACCTATGATTAAGATTCTATTTGGTTACATAACAATCAAAGATCATAAAATATTTCAGTTGGTTTTAGTGCTAAAGTCACCTTGTCATAAAATAGGTTCTATCAAGTTCTTGCGGATAGGCTAAAGATATATATATTATAAAAAGAAGAGATTGGCAAAGTTTAGACATATTAGTTAGAAAAGAGTTTATATTAAAATTGACATCTATCTAAGATTTCATGTGATTACCCTATAGATAGGCTATAATAAGTTATGTAAAAAAGATTATCAGTAGAATAAAATGATATTTAAGACTTCACATGGGTATTTTGTATATATACTATAATAAGTATTATAAAAAGAATATATACTGTAATAGGGTAAGATATAAAAGAGGTTTTATGTTATAGTCCCAAAACCTATTGAGCATTATATATGAGGGTCAAGAAAGGATAATATAGATATAGATAGTTAGATAGTTGGGCTTCTTTCAGCAACAAGTCACATTGGTAAGCTAATAACTTGAAAATGAATTTTTATTAAGTACATTATAAAAAATATCAAATCCTTGTAGATATTTCCAAGATATATATAGTTGATATATCCTGTATATAGTTGAAACTCTTTGTTCAGGTATATAATATCAATATATGATTGAGCTTTGTTATCTTTTAAAAAAACTTTTCCTTTAATATAATTATTTAGATTAATAATAATATATATATTATTTTACTTGTAATAAGAATATTAGTTTAAAACTATTATTAAAATAAAAGATTTCTTATGAACTTAATTTACCTTTAAAAGGGTTGTGCTTTTTTAAATATATAATCTATACTTGAAGCTGATATTATTTTTAGAATTAGATCATCAACTCTCATAAGTTTTAAAATATCTTTCTAATTATAGATTTTATCAAATTTTTGAATAAATAATTCTTTAAGCAAACTTTTAAATAAAATAATATCAATAAAACAGATCTCTAAAATTCTTTCCTTCTTATCTGAAGAAGAATATAATTTAAAAAAAGTCTCATTTTCTTTCTTTCAAAGATAAAGAGACATGATACTTTGATGGATAATCTGTAAGTGTTGACTTTTTTCTTAATATTAATTTTTAATGAATAATCAATAGTAGAAAAAATTTAAATTCTTATTTGATGATTCTTTAATATTTTTTGTATTTTCTAACACTAGTTTAAAAGTAATTTTAAATTAATCTCCTTTAATCTGAAGCAGCAAAATATGATCCAATAAACTACTTGGTTTTAAAAAGCTTAATAATATTTTTAATGGTTTTTAATAATTTCAATATACTATATTTTGTATCTTACTCTATTATGCCTAATAAACATAGCTAAGCTGACTTTTAAAAAAAAATTAATAAAAGTTGACTGTATAGATACTATCAATAATAATTTTTTTTTTAATACTGTTTATACAGTATAATATATAATTTATAATAAAGAAACCAAATGTTGCTTGTTATTCCTATTTTTAAAAAATTTCTGATAATTATTAACATTGGTGTTTTTAGAAACAATAAACGATTTTACTTTACTCGACTTACAAGATAAATTAAACGCATACCTTGATTTGCAAATAAAAATAAAATGAGTTTATTAGAATAAATTAACACTATCACATTCGGGACTTATGAAATATGTACAGAAACCTAGCAAAAATTACATCAACATCAAATTATTTAATAACAAAAGCATAAATCACAGGCCAGTCTCGGGATTGATGTTCAAAGAATAATGACGAAATACTTGCCAAGGGATGCAAATATACAATCGATTGAAAATAGTATCAAATAATGCGAATAAATAAAAAATATATTTAACAATAATGAATAGACTTTCAAGACGTTTGATCGGATAGTTGTTGATCGTCTACAGACGTTTTGGAATCAACATTTTGACCAGGAATTGTCTCTCCTTTTGTGGCATCAATGATACCTTCTTCGATTGATAAGACTTCTGCTCTTCCACAAATCTCTAAAATCTTTTCAGCCTCCTCAACAGTAAACCCACCTAAAACCTTGTTGATTTTCACTAATTCGCCAGTTTTCAATGCTTCGCGAAAATCTTCGGGCAATGTCAAAAAAATTTGATATTTTTCCTTTTCTTTTTCATCTTCGGAATGTTCATCGGGGATATGAACGTTAAGGGAGGAATTAGGATCCGTAACTTCTATTTGAATCTGCTCCGCCTGAGACTGTTGGGGCTTCTGAGTTTTTTCAGCATTCATGACCTTACAACGTTCGCGGATACGTTCATATGTCTCGCTTACATCCTTCAGGAAAATATCGCGAGCCTGTGGATCGGTTGAAGTTATCCTAATGTAAAATTTTATTATCAATAAGACAAAGCCTATATTCACCGAGTTGAAATTAGGATTTAATACCTTTTGAAAAATAGAGTAACACCGTCTTTTCCCAGTTTTTGGCAGTACTGTAATAACCATCCCTGATGGACACATTGTTTTGCATATTTGGCTTTCCCTTTCAACTGAGCTCGAAATGCCTCGGCCAATATTTGATCCACCACTTCTTGAGTGACAATTTCAGGATGTTTCGATATAAATGTGAAACTATCGTTATAATTTTTAATAACTGCAAATTCTTTCGCGACGTCAGAAATAGTTAAATCATCATCGTCATCATCATCCTCATCATTATCTTTTTCTTCAGTGTCTTCAGAGGTTTTCTACCAGAAAATAAATTATAAAGTTGTCGATATTTAGGTATTGAATAGATAATAATAATAATAATAAAATCAAATTTTACCATAATTTCATTGAGAGGCTTTGGCTGTGCACCAGGATTTAGCACCTCAATAGACTTCTCCGACTTCTTTTTCGATTTTTTTGAGAGATCTGGTTTATTCACTTTATTGACAACCTTTATATTCGAATAAAGATATTAATTTCTCTAACCGAAGGAATACTTATGCCTTTAATATACATACAGCTTTGTCGAATCCAGTGTGCAAATCATCAACGATTATTTTTTTTCTAGCTTCATTTTCTTCTTTCTCCAACTCTACTTTAGCGTCATCTTGACTCTTTTTCAATTTTTCACGGTGTTCTTTCAATTTATCGATTAACCTTTCACTAACTTCTTCAGGACTCTCATTCTTAACTTCTTGTTGAATTTTTTCAAATAGAATTCTCATCATTTGATCAAAAGTCGGTGGTGTAGGCTCAGTTCCTTCACCCTGAGGAGTCGACTCCGTTTTGATAGCTTCACTTTCCATTTCCTTATTAGTTTCACGTAGCTCCTCTATAGTTTTGAAAAAAGATTCAACACCCTCACTCTGCAATTTCTGGATCATTGTATCAATTCTATCGAGCAAAACGTCATCCTGAGAAATCTTTTGCTTAAGCGAACCAATCTTTCTTCTCCTTTCTTCGCGCTTAGCGTGAATATCAGCTTGCTTCCATCTTATGAATGAGGCTTTGTCGACATTTGGATGGCATTCGAAGTCATCGTCATCACTTAACTCGAGCTTATCCCATTTACTGTAGTCGATAGGCATGTTTTTGGTTTTTCTTTTTTTGAGTGTAAAAAATCCTATGCCTTTTTATACGTAGGAATGGAGATTTAATTCCGGTTTATGTTGAGTGGTCTGTACTAGAAACATCCAGAATAATTTCGGATTTAGAATAATTAGTCATGTGATAAAAATTTAAAGTTCTGATCTTAAGATCATAGTTTTGTAATAAACTCGTTTGATCCAAATAATTTACTAACGAACGCATTAAAGAAGATTTTTAAAAAGGAAATCATTTATTACCTATAATTAATCACGTGCCATTTTTTTATTGTTTGCTAATTTAAGATAAATTTTCGATTTAAAGTCATTTACTTTATTTTTTTTTTCTTTAACTATTGGTATTAAATGCGAGCTTAACTTAATGATTTCACTTTATTTTATTTAATGTCTTTATTATAAAATTTTAATATTAATTATAATTTATATCTTTATAGACAAAGTAATTTTTTGATCTTATAATTTTAATTATTATAATTAATTTTAAATTATTAAAATTTTTAAATTATGTATATTTGTAATTTAAAGTTTGAAATCAATTATTACTACGGGATGTTGTAAAAAAATAACAAAAATTTTTTTATTCTTTATTTATATAGGCCAGATGTAAAACATGTGACTGTCTTGTATAACTTTTGTATCTTTTCTTTCTTATAACTTTTAATTGAAATCATTGATTAAAAATATTATTGTTCTCTAAAAAAAATCAAAATAAAGTTATTTTATTGTTGTGAAATAAGAATATACTGTATATATAGCAAAAAAGATTTTTATAAAAACAAATATCTTCCTTAGATTATCTATAATACTATTAAAAAGATTAAAAGAATTGAAAAGATAACTTATACTAAAGATAATAAAAAAATAACAAAAATTATAAAATCTATTGTATAAATAATATATTAGTATCTTCATAGAAATTTATATTTTTCAACAAAAAATATAGTTACTAAACTTACAAAAAAAAAAAAATTAAAGTATTTTATAATACTATTTCAGGAAATCTAAATAAAGTTAAATATATAAATAATTTATCATAAAATACTTTAATACTAAAAACTCTTTTTGTTGATTCTCAACTACACACAAAAAAGATATTCACAAGAAGATTTTATTTTTCTTGACTAATAAAGTTTTTCTATTTTTCTTAAAACAACTTGAAACTTGTCTTCAAAAGTCACTATTACATGTCTTTACTTATTTACAAACTCCTTTGAATAAAAATTTGAATATCTAGTAACTTGAATAAACTCAAGCATATACTTCCTTTACTAAAGGCATGAAGATTCTAGGAAGTAAAAGGATCAACTTATAGAGTGTCCTTTTTCAAAACTAGACATAATATGAAAATAAAGGTTTTCTGGATATGAAAAAGTTTATTATCTATCTTCTTATATACTATCTCTTGACCTATTAAAGTGTTTACTATTTTTTTCTAGTTTTTTTGAAAGAATTTTGTCTATTCCAACTTAACCTTGAATTTTTAATAACACAATATTATCTGATCTTTAATTAACTGACATGAAACATGTTGATAGCAAAATGTAAACAAGGTTCTATAGATTATATTCACATATTCCAATGATATTATTGATGAAATAAAAAAAAATCAATTGATATGTAATCCTCTACTTTTCCAAATTAAGTATAACTGAAGCAAAAAAACTATAAAACCATTAGAATAGATACTAAATTCTCTAGATAGTAAAAAGGTGATTATTTGTTTAAGTTAAGATCCTCAACTTCCTATCATCCTAGTCAAATAAGGTATACAAAGAAGGTTATTTCCTTATTCTGGTTAGGCAATAAGATCAAAAAGTAAAAGATTATGAGCCACTGCTCTTCTCTAAGATTGAGAATGTATTTTACCAGATATTGTGTAATAATATAGTAATTAATAAGGATTCCTATTACTTTTTTAGAACTCTTTCACTATTGTAAGACAAAAAGATTCTTGGGAAATAACTTTTTGGACAATAGAAGATATACATTAGTAAAATTCCTTTAACTAAATATAGTTACTGGAAGATATCAGTAGTTATACAATATAACTGAAAGATTATATAAGAACCTAAAATCTATCATAAATCATTGCTTGATACAGATAGATAAAAAAATCAATACTGAAAAAAAGAAAGCAATAAGCAAGAAGCTGAATTTGAGTAGGTAATAAGTACCTTAGATAGTCACAAGATAATAATCAAAATTACAAATAGGTAAGTTCCTCAAATAGTCAGGAAGAAGAAGAATATCCTAGAAGGGTTAACTCCTAATAAGATGAGGTTTTTATTAGAAATTCTTTGGAGAACATGAAGCAGTTTTATTTTCTTTTTTTTTTTTTTTTTTTTTTTCCTCTTTATGTATATGAAATTGTGCTCTTTTAGATATAACTTCTCTTTTTTTTTTTTCTTTTTTCTATTATAGTTTCTAAAATCAGTTTCTTGAAAAATAATTGGTAATGGCAACTTGCTAATAATAATGGATAAGTTGAAAAAGTCTTCACTCAAAACTTACTTATATTGAAGCAAAATATTGTTCCCAAGATTATACTTAGAGATTGAAGCTCTTTTGAGAATTAAAAGCTATTGACGAGCAAGTCAGTATAAGATTTAGTTTAGTCATAATATATTTGCTCAATGTATTGCAACTGAGACTATACAAATTTAAACAGGGGTGAAGATTCTGCATTACAAAAAAGGCACCGAATGGAGAAGAGGAAATGGTTTGGTTATAGGTGACTTGAAACCATGCTACTACTACCATATTGATACCATGAGCTGATTACTCTTCGAGGGCTTCATCAGTTCAGGACACAATGCCTATTTCTTCACTGTTTTCAGTACCTTTATGTTGTGATCCTTATCTACTGGTTCTTGCCTTTTCCTTCCATACCCTATCCAATATGGGATCTTCTACAGATATTCTTTTAGGTGATGATAAGTCGGGGATTTCAGAGAGCTTTAGGACATAGGGAAAGGTGAATGTATACTGGGATAGTTAGGGGCCTGTCATTTAACAATCTGTTCTTCTTTACCATTGTGATAACTCCAGTCTAGAAAGAAGAATTTTGGTACTTCCAGCATGTACCTTGTTGGACTTGATAAATATCATGCTGTTTTTCCCAAAGTACTACCATCTGTAGAGATTGAACTATTTGTCTAATGTCCCATTGTGACATATTCTTCAGCCACAAGATTGTTCGACTGCATGTTGGTGTTGTCAATTAGGTACGAGTGATCCTAAGATTTCCCTAATCTCCCAATATTCATGCAAGTAAAGAATAGGCATGACACTTTTAAGGTGTTGTCCTCATTCTGTATTCCTTTAAGCCTAGTCTTCTTTCTTCTTTCTTGATAGAGGAAAGGGAAGGGTATGTTCTTTCTCTTTCGCTTAGCCAAAGATGTAGAAGTAGATAGTGTTCATTATTCATCCACACCAATAAAATGACTCATAGTGGACCTTAGGTTCTTATGGAGCTGA